GCTTTACCAAACAAAAAGTGGGAAAGTAAATCAAATCACCCCGTAAAAGTAAATAAAATTAGATTGAGAATGTTAATACGCAACCTGTGACAGAGAAGCCTACCAATTATTTATCTACTTTGATTCTTATAAATTAAATCACCCCGTAAAAGTAAATAAAATTAGATTGAGAATGTTAATACGCAACCTGTGACAGAGAAGCCTACCAATTATTTATCTAATTTGATTTTTATATTTTGTCTTCTCATATTATTTGATTTTTAATTCACTTTTATTAACTATTTCTATATAATTAGTTTTCCCTATTCATATTTAAATTATGTTAACTTTTACTATTTTAAAAATAATTATATTAAACCTCTTCTAACATGTAAATAAATTAAATTGGACGTTGGTTTTTTTTACAGTTTTGAAATAATGATATTTTGAGTTTTTAGATAGAGAATTTTTCTTTTGGCAGCTAAATCTCTTCGGAAAATAGTTTTATAACTGATGTTGATGTTTTGGGTTTAAGTAGTCATTTAAATAACACAACATAAGATAGTAATAGATCTTTGTATTATATCACATCTATCAAATAAAATACTAATTGTTGTTTTCTTGATGAAAAGTTATTTTTTTTGGAAGAAATTATTGAAGTTTTAAAGTGTTTGGTGAGAAGATGAAATAGCACAAAAAATGTTTAAATGAAAGAAAAATATATAATCTTTGAAGATTTGGGTATGCAAAATTAAGTCTATCCAAATTCAAAAGATTTTTACACGTATATTAGAATATTCTAATTAGGAAAGATATTTGATTTATTATATTATCTATTTTAAATCAAATATAAAAGAAAATATACAAGTTTTTATTTGAAAGAAAATTTATTTGACATGTGGCAAAATCTCATTAGAATTTTTTTAACATGTCAAAATATGATCGCTTAACTAACACGTGTCATGATAATGTTAATTACGAAATTTGATGCATCAAGCGTATATAATAAGATATCTTATTATATAAAGGAGGATACACGCGATGAGAGCATGACACGTATGCAAAATTGTAATTCACCAGATCGCGACATGTGTCTACTATTAACGAGATGATGATACATGTTCAAATTTAAAATTATTTAAAAACAAATAGAAAACAGACAGAATAATTGTTAAGCAACTAATCAAATAGTAAAAAGTAAATTTTTTTTTATATTTCAAACTAATTAGAAAATGAAAAATTTCCAATAGTCCAAACTAATTAGATAAAAAGTGTAATAGTTCAAACTAATTATAAAAAATAAGTAAATAAAGAAGATATAAAGAGTATAAATAGTAAAAAAATAAAAAAGTAAAGTGAAAATAAAAATAAAAATTAAGAAAAATAAAAATATGAATGATAAAATAAAAGATATTATGGTAATTGAAAAAAAAAAGAAATTTCAAAAAATGCCACTTTTCAAGTGCCACTTTACAAAAATGCCACTTTTTCAAAATTATTTTTTCTTTATAATATTTATGTTTGAGTTAATTATGTTCTATTAGGGTTTACTTATGAGAGTTTAGGGGGTTTAGGAGTCAAAACATTTTTTAGTGTTTAGAATTTTAAGATATAGGGTTTAAAAATCTATAATTAGTGGTATTTTTGCAATTGAACACCCCCAAGTGGTATTTTTGCAAATGTGCACATAAAAAGTGGTATTTTTGGCAATTTCCCCAAACAAAAAAAATAGAATGAATATGAAAATCTCAATTTAAAAGTTTAAGATATGCACAATCATAACAAATAAACAAAAAAAGTATAAGCATATTTATTTTGTAAACATATTTATTGAATATTACAAAGAAAATGAAAAGCTTTTACCTATGACGGTAGTGGTACTTTTCATTGTTAAAAAAAATTGTATAAAATGGAAATTTATACAGGTTAAAAATAATAATAGTATATTTGCTATTAAAATCCAAAAGTGTTTAAGGTTTGACGAGTATAGATCTCTATGAGAAATAAATCAATGACGTCAACGGAATACATTTATCAGTCATGGATTTATATGTGATGACTATTTTTTAAAATATTATATAGATTTCTATGAGATTATTCACATGAATTTGTTTTTTTTTAATTTAAATCTATAATATTTGAATGTTTTTAAGATTTTATCACATAGCTAATACATTCATAATGGGTAAAAATATTTTTTCACTTATTTACATATATGGGTATGCATGATATGAACTACGGCATGAGAATTAAATATAAACTAATCTCTAGATTTAATATCCATATATAAATAGTATTTCAAAAGATGTTTGTATATGCGGGTTACTAATTAAAACTAAAGTATTTATATTCATAATTTTTAATATGTTTACCCGCGTATCAACGCGGATCCTAATCTAGTTTCATTATAAAATTCTGTAGATTTTTGGGTTTTTACATGATGTACTTAAGGTTAAATAATAAATAATACGCAAGTAACCCGGGTTCGATTCCCAGGCAACGTCGTTCGTTTTTATTTATTTATTAAAAGTGTTCTTTTTTTCCTCCTACTGATTTTTTTATTAAAAAATTTATTTGAAATTTCCCATAAATCCGCCAAGTCGTTCGTCTTCCTAAATTTCCGATTCAAAACCATTATAAGCTACACAAACATATCAACTCTAATCTTCCAGAACAAGATTT